GGAGTGAGTTTCTTTGGAAAGTTAAAAGTGTACATTGATGAATACTGTGATTGTACTTCTTATAAAGGAGATGAAGATTCAAAAAGAGGCGAATTTTCTGGTAGATGTTTAGAATTTCTTAATCTGTACTCGGATATCTCTATTTTACGACAATTACTTATTGCTGATATGGCTAGTGTCATTGGTTCTTTTAATAACATGGACAAATTAGCTGTCAACCTTTTGAAACTTACAGATAAAGAGAAAGTTTCAGATAAAGAGATTCTTACATTTTTTTTGGATCCAATAAATAACAGGTCAGTAAACTTATGTCTTTTTGTGTCATTAATTAAATATTCACTAACATATTTATCCACCCAATGCCCAGTAAGGGCTGCCATATTTAAAATAGATACTCTTTTTCTTTATCTTAATTTTTCTTATACCTCTTAATTTTATCTCTCTTCATACCATAACATAACAAGTACTGGGTGAAGAAACAAGTTAATTGTAGATCTGCCATCTATGTCTGATGTAACAATAAATTTTTTTTAAAGGAAAAAATGTTCTAGGTATTTGCAAACATCATTTGGAACTAATGTTTATCAGCTTGCACAAAACTAGGCTGATATTGTAAATTTTAGATTTCCTTTTAAAGTTGAATGTTTACTAATTAATACTGAATTCTCCAATGGTCAACAAATTTAGAAACAAATTCATTGCAACATGCAATGAATTTGTTTCTAAATTAAAAAATAAAAAAGTAAAAAATAAAAACTGGTATGAACACATGTATAATATGCCATAGCTTCTCTTTTTTTTTTTATAATAGCAACATCTTTGCAAGCTTGAGTCATATTACTTATATCTTCTCAAATATAAATTGTGAATTTTGCTTAAACTATAAGCAAAATTTAAAGTCAACGCTTTTATAAAGCATTGTCCAAACAGTTAGATAGATATTCCATATTTGATTTTATATTTATAAAGATATTCTGAAATATAAGCAAGTGGTATATTTTTACATCTACAAACTTTAAAAAGTGTTTCTTTTGTGACTCAAAAAGTGTTTCTTTTGTGACTTTTTGTGATTTGAAACTCTGTGGGGAGGGGGGGAGGAAACTATTGCTTAGGATCAGAAGTAGTACATTAAATTTCTTCTTATTTTCACTTTATTTTTGTCTTTTTTAAGCACCTCTTTGATTTCATTGTCACAAATAATAGCTTATTGATTTTTTCAAAAAATATTTATGCAATGAATTTGTTGCATTTTTTTAGAGCACAGCGTTTTTGTATTTCGCAATATTTTGGAGCGCCAAACAGATACCCAACTATTCAATTGTACCTCTCAAAGTTATCAAAAATTCCTGAAGGAAAACCAATACCTGGTAAAGCTGTCATATGTTCAGCAAAAGAGCTTCTAGGATTGTGTCAAGAACTGGAGTTAACCCAATATGATGATTTAAAAGATTGGGAAAACAAAGTTAAATCATTATATGTTCCTCGTATGTATTTTATTAAAAAAACAAAATTGTTGTAATAAATAAGTTAATTGGTTAATTTTTTAATTAATAATTATTTATTAGTTCATTAAATAATAATTTATATTTAAATAGTAATTAAATACAGTGACATTGCTAGTGGGTGCTGTGGGTTGCACCGAGTGACAGCATCATGTCGTGACACAGTGGGATGGCACCAAATGAATAAAAATCAAATATGCCATATTTTTTTTCTAAAGGCCTTTTTTTAGTTTTTAGAAATTTCTCTATACAGAGGACTTTTTTTAGTTTCACCTTTGACCTGTTAGACTAGAGAGGTGACACCAAAAGTTTAGTGCAATGGTTGATGCAAGCCTCAGTGACGCAACTGATCAATATTAATTGTTTATAAAATTGAAGTAAAAAAATTATACTAAGTTATATAAAAATATTTATAATTTTTATGAAGTTTTATATTGTTGTGTATGTTACACAAATTTAAATATTTTTATAAGTTCTTAAATTATATAAATATATAAATTATATATTATAACTATAAAATATATTTTTAATTCAAAATTTATTTTATGAATAAATTAAGTCTCTTTTTAACTGTAATTCGTTTAGAGGGAGTGTTAGTGTATGGATTTAGCCAGAGATTTCAAAACGGTATTTACTTTTTTTTCTTTTTGCACTGCGTTAAAATCTTCTATTTTGTTAAATAATAAGTGTAATTAATTTAAATGTGTGTAAATTTTTTTTAGTTTTGTATTTATGTGGTTAAATTGCATTAAGATTTGTATTTATATGTATAATTTGTATTTAGTTTTGTATTTATGTGTAAGTTTTTTTAAGTTTTGTATTTATATGTGTTTTGATTTTATGTATGTAAGCTGTATTTAGTTTTGTATTTATGTAATTTTTATTTAGTTTCGTGTTTTTTTGTTTATTTAAGTTTTATTTAGTATTTACAGCATTTTTATAGAGTTTGAGTATTTGATGTGTTAAAACTGTGTTAGATATTTCCATGTTTAGCGATATTTTTCTTTTTTATTTATGTTTTGCGATGTGTTTTATTTTTTGTAAGTTGTAATTGTTTTTAAAGTTTCTTTGATTGAACTCTTTAATGTGTTTTTATGTCTTTCATGTTCATGTCTTTCATGTTTATGTCTTTCATGTTCATGTCTTTCATGTTCATGTCTTTCATGTTCATGTCTTTCATGTTCATGTCTTTCATGTTCATGTCTTTCATGTTCATGTCTTTCATGTTCATGTCTTTCATGTTCATGTCTTTCATGTTCATGTCTTTTATGTTCATGTCTTTCATGTTCATGTCTTTCATGTTCATGTCTTTCATGTTCATGTCTTTCATGTTCATGTCTTTCATGTTCATGCTTTTCATGTTCATGCTTTCATATTCATGTTCATGCTTTTCATCTTTTGCAGTTAGACTTTTAGCGTTTTGTTTCTAAATTATATCCATATTTATAAATAAAATATAGTTTGTTTCAGTAATATTTGTTTAAATTGTTAAAATTTAATAAAAGGGGCATCATTTGGACCATTTCCTGGGCCTACTGTAATAGGATTGACACCGGGCGAGTGGAAATCTATTCTTATAGTTGAAAATAAAAATGATATTAATCAATTTGTTAGGATTTGTGAGGCTGAAAATATGGAGCAGGTTATTATAATATAATTGAAGTTGTTTTCTAAAGTTTTTTTTTTTTTAATTTCTTTTAGTTATTTTTTTTTTTAAATAATAAAAAAAAAAAGGCTTAAAATTAAATAACATTTTTAGACAGGAAGATGTGATTTCCTTAAGGTGCAAGAATATCCCTTTCTACAAATGGCATTAGGGACTGGTAACAGTTTTTATTTTTAACTATCATTTCTTTATTGAGCTTAATTTAAGTTTATAAGTTTGATATTTATGTTCGGAATATTATATCTGTGATTTATCCCTTGAAATTTTTGCTCTGTCATTAATGAATCAATTTGGCTTCATAAAGTTTGCTTGTGTTGGCACTGATATTAATTAATCAACTGTGATGGCACTGATATTAATTAATCAACTGTGATGGCACTGATATTAATGAATCTTCATAAGGCTTCATAAAGTTTGCTTTATGAAGCCAAGTTGACTGCACAGTACAGCAAGTAACAAGCCAGTTAAAAAAGGGCAGTGACTGGACAAACTTTAGATGCATATATTTTTGAATTTTTTAATTTAAGCAATATAAAAAACATTCGATTCAATTTAGTTTATAAAGTAGAAAAAGATGAAATTCAATTATTATTACTACCAAGGATTACTATGGAAAGAACATTGCCAGGAAATTAATAAATGTACAATTTCTTTTTAAAGGAAAAAACTGATGTTCAGACATTTCACTTGTGCAGATACTCTTGAGTTCCTCTAATAATTGAGTTCCTCAAAAGTATAATAATTATATATCTCAAAAGTAAAAAAAAAATTCAGTGAAAATCGGCCTTAAAAATTTAAAAATAATTTTCAGTAACCGATAAAAACAAAAAATTTCAGTGTTAACAGGTTTTACAAATTGTCGACCAATTAAATCTCTATTTGCTAAAAATGAACTTGTAGTTTATTTCTAAACAAAGCTTTGGTTTTAATTATATTAATTTTAACTTATATTCAGCATATTTAATATGCTGAATATAAGTTTTATACTTTGCAAAGTATAAAACTTATATTAGCATATAAAATGTTTATTAAAGTTCAGAAAAAATATTCCTTCTCCCCCCTCCCCCATATTACCCCCCCTCTCCCCGTTTATTAGATTTTGACTAAAATTCCCACCCACCCATTTATTCCCACCCCCCGTTGTATTCAGCACTTGAATTGAGTACCAAATATGCCTGTTGTGCAGCAGGTTATTTATATTCATATGAATTATGTAGCTCCTAAGTATAATAACTTTTGTTGGATTAGATTTAATAGATTATAACCAAAAAAATGAAGAAGATTATAAAATTCAATTTATGCATTAACATGATTCTAGTAAAAGTTTTCTTGGTACTCACAAGAAAATATGTTTTGAGTCCCATTATATCATGTTTTATGTACCATTAATCCTCCATCTACAACAAACAGTTGTGTTTATGAAATTTCAGAAATTAAGTTTGCAAAAATTATAGAACAAAATAATCAAGATTTATAGAAAAAATTTCTAATGTGTCATTATTTTATATGTTATTTTTTCAAATATTGTTAAGATATAACTGAACGTGTAATTGGCACAATTTTGACTCAAAAAAAATCTCCTGGTCACTTAACTTTATGTTTTGTAACAAAAAAATAAAAAAAGAGGGTAAAATGATTTTTCCCCCTCCCTTTACCTTAGGACCTTAGGACCTCCCTAGGTTCAAAAAAATTAGAATTAAAGTATTAATTTAATATAACTTTTAGAAAGATTTTAAAAACTACTTTTTACATTATAAAATTAGGATATAGATAATTATGTCATAAAAGGCCGTGTTAAAAAAGTCAAACAATGTAATAATATATTTATCATTAATATATTGTTCATTAATACTGTCAAAATACCTAAAAATATATGCCTTTATTATTTAATTTATGTTATTAAGGTAGTCTGAAGAAATTTTTAATTTAATATTTGTATCCGCTATGTGAAAGGTTGTTAATGTACCAAATTTTAATACCTCATTTCGTTCATAAAATATTGCCATTTAACAACAAAAAAAAATCAACACAAAAAAGAAAATGGAAACCTGAGTATCTCAAAAACTATAAAGATTTGGAGGTTGCAATTTTCAGATTATCTTTATTTATTTTATATATTTATTTATCTTATTTTATTATCCATTTTCAGATTATCTTTATTTAATAATAAAATATTACCAAAATTCAAAACATGGGTGGCATGAGCCTGTCTTAAATTGAAGGTAACCACTAAAGCCATTTTAAAAGCATTTGGCATTCTATGAATTGCCTATGACTTTTTATGCAACTAGTTTGAAGTTTATGCCACTATGACCAATTTTAATGATCAACTTTAATGACCAACTTGAAGTTCATAAAGTTCTAAATCATCTTATAAAAGTTTTTTGAGTGTTCAACTTTAAATTTTTCTAAGACTTGTAGAACCAAAATGCACCACCAGTACTCTGAGTTTCAATAAAATATGCACCATCAGTATTCTGAATTTCAATATAATATGCACCACGAGAACTCTGAGTTTCAATAAAATATGCACCACCAGTACTCTGAGTTTCAATAGATTCACACATTTTTGATAAAGAAAATAGTTGTTGCAGACAAAGGTCATCTGGCGGTTCAATATCAGAACACAATGGGTCTCTTAACTTTTTATCATCGCTAATTTTATGAATATTAATAATTTTCTTTGCATCTATAAAGTGTTTTTAGAAATAAAACAGTTCTATTAACATTGATTTGGCCTATATTAAGATGTGTTGATAATGCAGAAAGTGTTTATTTACAAAAAACTTTTTTGTAAAGATTAAAGCTGTAATTAAATGTGAAAAAATCAAAGTGTCTTAAGAAATAAAGTTTTTCAAGGTCATTCTACTTTGCAACTAAATTATCATTATTGGAGCTATAAATGTTTTAAGTTGATCAGCTTGTACATTTCTTGTGCTGGAAATTACTGAAGCTGTAATCTTTAATTTTAGTGGAGCAGTTGGTTCAAGTTTGGACTTAATACAGTAAAATATAGATGGAAGAGAAGAAGGTTGTTTCTTACCTTTTTTCAAAATTTTTTTTTCAAAATTTAAAAGCCAATTTTCATAACAAACAACAGTATATTTAGTACTAGGAAAGCTATTTTTCAAATAGTATGTAGCCATTTTCTGCAATCTTTTGGTTCTTTTGGATCTTTTGGTAATATGTGAACAGCACATTTTTTATGTTGTTTAAATAATTAGTAGAAAAATTAGTAACACAACATTAATAATTAATAGGTTAATAGGTTTTTAGGTTTAGGTTTGCCTGTTTTTTTGATAGCCGCAGTTGTTAATAAATGTATTACTTCATTTGTTGATTTATTTCAGAAAAATTTTTCAAATTCTCCTTTTTATGCAATTAAAATTAAAATAATTAAAAAAAAAAAATGTTTAGTAAATTTTTATTTTGAAAATCTTTATTTAAATACTTTTCTGCTTCACTACTTTAATCACAAAAAGTGATAAAATGAAAAATATTTAATGATAAAATAAAAAATATTTAAGTTTAAAATAATTAAATAACATATCTCTTATAAATCCTGTTAAAAAGCCAGCTGAATTCATTTATATTTTATTTTTTAATTTTCAGATCATGGTGTGTGGACAAAACAGGGTAAAAAGTGTATATTTCCTTTCAAAGATAAAGATGGTTTACATTATAGTTGTGTTGATGGTGCAACTCAATTCTGGTGTGCAATAGATGTAAAGTCTGATCTTGTATATTCTGATTATGGCGAATGTTTGTTTCGTATGTATTAGTGTTTATTTGTTTTTTAATTTAAATTCTAATTTTCTAATACATAACTACAATATAGTTGTAATAGATGTAATACACACACATATATCAGGCCTTCTCGTAAGAGGCTTATATGACCACCGTAAAGTTCTTTGTTTTAACAACTTGACCACGGCTCTTTGCAAGTTTTGATAATTAGCGCGTTTAAAAAATGCGCTGAAAAAAAAAAAAAAGCGATTGTTAAATTAATTGATTCTATAATTACAATTAAACTCCCACAAAATTTTCTGAGTACTTTAATGCAACTTAATTAAGGGCAATCATTGAAAAAAATATTCAGATCAGAGTTTAAGGCAAAATGAGTACAGAAGCTATCAAAAAATAATTAAAAACCATTTTATCATGGAAATATAATTTCTAATTAAAAAGTTATTTACTAAAAAAAAGGAATTACAATAATCTTGAAACAATCGTATCTGCCAACTATTTTTTATCCCAGAGCGTGACATATAGTTTTTTTTGTTAATGATAGTTGGCTTGCTTTTCTTTATTTATTGACGAACGTTTAATTTATGAGATTTATGTCAAATAAAATTCAAATAAATTTTGTTCTAGTTAATAAGTTATTAAATATATATAAGATGCTTGGTAAATTTATTTAATTTTTATTTTTCAAAAACCTTTTTTTTACACATTTGCAAAGTGCGCGTAAATTAATAATAAATGCACAATAAAAAAACTTTTAATAGTGCAAAAGTTTTAATATGCAAACAAATATTATTTCACTTTATGGAAATGAAGAAATTTTGAAAAAAGCATGCTAAATTTTATTTATAATGAATACATTTGCTTTAAGCATTTAATGTTATTGCTAAAAACGTAAAAGAAACCATCGTTAAACATTATGATCGCTTTTCTCAATAAAATAAAGCAATCAAAATGTTTGAGCATGGTTTCTTTTGAAGTTTTTGCTAAAGCATTCTTTTTAAGTAAAATTATGTATGCTTTTGTGAGCGCATGCAAAAACCATGCTAAAACATAATTACTTTTTCTATAGCGTATTTAGTTATTTTACTTACAAGTGACGCTATTGAAAAAAATACTTATGTTTTGGCATTAATTTAAGTCTGTGAAATTAATTGTTTTTTATATTAAATATGTTTTTTATAATAAATAAAAAACTAATTGTCGCAAAACTATTTTGAAAAAAATTGCTGAAGTAATACGTTCGTTTTGAAAATTCCTAATCAAACGGCAGTTTTTGCATAAGCAAAATTATAAAAACGTGATGTTTGTTTTTCTGTCTGTCTTTTAAGAAATGTGTACACATTTGTCGATTTGTCGCACCCTGTATCCTATTAATTTTTTAATAAAATTTTAAACTTGCACCACAAAATTTTGTAAATTTCATGGTACTTTTAAACAACCTAAGTTATTTACATTTTTAAAAATACATTTCTAAAAATATAAATAAAAAATCTGAGGAGACCTTTTCTAAAGATTATTAGAGCTGTGATTTTTTTACTTTCGTTTACAATTAAGTTTACATTAATTAATAAATGTTTTGATTTTTTTTTCTACAAAAGAACTTTATGCGTGGTCATATAACAAAGAACTATATGCGTGGTCATATAAGGTGTGCGATCGCACACCTCTTATGAGAAGGGCTGTATACATATATATATATATATATATATATATATAAATATATATATATATATATATATATATATATATATATATATATATATATATATATATATATATATATATATATATATATATATATATATATTTATATATATTTATATATATTTATATATATATATATTTATACATATATATATACATATATACGAGGTGTGTTCAAAAATTAAGGTGACTTTGTATTTAAAAAAAAAAAATTCATTTAATTATCAATATTTGTTTTGTCCCCTTCAAAATAATCCCCCTCAGATACAATAAACTTATGCCAACAGTTTTTCCAATCCTCAAAGCATTTCTCATAAGCACTTTTTGGTATAGCCTTGAGCTCTTACAGCGATGCAGTCTTTATCTCTGCAATCGTTGCAAATCTTCGTCCTTTCATAGGTCTCTTTAGTTTTGGGAACAAGAAAAAGTCAAATGGGGCCAAATCCGGTGAATATGGTGGCTGAGGCATGATTGTAGTGTTGTTTTTGGCTAAAAAATCTCTAACAAGCAAAGATGAGTGAGCAGGGGCATTATTGTGATGCAAAAACCATGAGTTGTTTTTCCACAATTCTTGGTGTTTTCTTCGTATTGCTTCTCACAAACGACGCATAACTTCAAGATAATACTGTTTATTGACCGTAGAACCATATGGTAAGAACTCCTGATGCACCACACCATGATATTTGAAGAAAACAGTGAGTGAAACTTTGACATTTTATCGAACTTGGCGTGCTTTTTTTCGGTCTTGGCTCACCTGGGCTCTTCCATTGGGATAATTGTGCTTTGGTTTTGATGTCATAACCATATATCCATGATTTGTCACCAGTTATGACCCTTTTGAGTAAATCTGGGTTGTCGTTGACATCATTCAACAGTTCTTGAACGATGCTTATGCGATGGTTCATTTGGTCAAAACTGAGCAATTGCATTCTATGGCTCTAGCCATGTAACTAACGGAAAGACCATTTCGATAAGTTAGAGAGCAATTTTTTTTCATCTGGACTCAACAATGCACCATGACCCATTATTAACTAATTTGTTATTTTAACTTTATACAAAAGTGTCTTATAATTTGTCACATTAAAAATTGAGTTTTTTTTAAAATAAATTGAGTATTTTTTAAAATAAATTGAGTTTTTTTTAAAATAAAATTTAAGTTTATGTTTAAAATATATATATCTATATATGTATACAGGGTGTCCCACAGATTTTTTTTTATAGCTTTTACAAATTTCAAATTTGTAAAAGCTATAAAAAAAAATGGCTTGATAGATTTTCAATAAAATTTGCTTTATTTGAAATGTTGTTTTGTGACATTAATTTATTGAATAATATATTCTATTAATATTATATTATATTAATTTATATTATATTAATTTATTATATATTTATTTATTATTTATTTATTTATTTATTATATTTATTTATTTATTTATTATATATTAATTTATTATATATTATATTAATTTATTATATAGAATATTATATTAATTTATTGAATAATATATTGAATAATATATTGAATAATAATATATTGAATAATATATTGAATAATATATTGAATAATATAAATAATTTATTGAATAATATATACAATAAATTATTGGAAAATAATTTCATTCAAATGTCCACCACGATGGACTTGGCAGTACCCCATTTGATCAACCCAATTTTTTAGTACGTTCTCGATTGTTTCCAGACGAATTGTAACAATAGCAGCTTTATTTTCATTTTTTAAATTGCCAATCATTCTGAATGCTTGGTGTAACATACGTCTTTGAACGCTTCCCAAAGAAAATAGTCTAATGGTGTCAGATCGCAGCCTCTTGGCGGCCAATTCACATCACCATTTTTGCTAATTATTTAGTGCGCAGAAGATTGATTGTAATGTGGGCTGTATGACACATAGCACCATCTTGTTGAAACCAAATATCGTGAAAGTCTTCAGCTTCAATTTGGTCAAAAAAATAATCAGATAACATGGCATGATTGATGGTTACTGTGGCTCCTGCCTCATTTTTGAAGAAAAATAGGCCAATGATGTCGTCTGACCAAAAACCGCACCAAACTTTATTAATACAATATTTAACAAGTGTCATTTACCATGCTTTCATAAAATTCTTGGTAAAAAACTTCTATAGCTCTAATATCTTGATGAAGGTGTTCCCCTTGCTCATTCTCACTGCACCAAGGTTTTAGAGAAAAAATATCTAGATGCAGTCTAGATTCTAAGAATGCAGAATGTGCATTTTCAAAGACATCAGGCAATCCATTTTTTTATATGTATCAATGAGTTTTGCGACGCCATTCTTTTATGCAAGAGACTTTTTATCCCCCATAAAGTTAGTGCATGTCCATATCTTTGTGGATGCATTGGCTTTTCCTCAATGACATATGAGTTTTCACTACCCCAAATATGACAGTTTTGTTTACTAACATAACTATTGAGGTGGAAATGAGAAAAACTAGAAAAACCATCAACATTAGGCATCAGAAAAATCCATGTAATTTATCAATGCAAGAAATTTTTTCAAATGTTGCTCATAAAATTGCTTTCTTTCTAACAAACAATTTAAAGAGTTTATAGTTTGTGGTATTAAAGCTATATAACTCAGTATAAAGCTATATAAGAATCAGTAGAGGTTGGTCAGCATTCTCTAAGTTAGCTCAACATAAAACCCAAAGGATTAATAAAGAACACTGGGAAACTAAACTTGATTAACTTTAGCTTTATTTACTGCAGTGAGAATGATGCCCCTTGCAAAGAATCTTGTGATGGCTGTGCTGATTGTTTTTGCAAATGTGACTTAAATTTAAGAATTCCACAAAAAGAGCCAGATTGGATTAAAAATCAGCAAGAAAAACAAGGTAGGCTTTCATCTATGAAAGAGTTTGTTAAAGAACATTCCCAGCATATGTCCAAAAACTTTTGTACGTCAATCAATCAAGCAATGCTTAGTTAACAATTAAAAGAAGCTTTAAAAGCCAGAGTAATCAAGAACATTTTATTTATCTACTATTAGATTTGACTCTATAAATATGGATGTTGCAGCAGAAATGAATAATAATTACAATGCTGATATGGTCAGTGATAGCAATAAAGTCAGTGATAGCGAATAAGACTAAACATTAGAAAAAAATATATATCTTAAAGGAAATTACCTTGATATTAGTAATGCTGCCATTTCCTCTGTCAGATTTGGTGTGTCATTGACTGGCACTGCTGCCGGCAGGGCTTGTTGAAGGCAAAAATAATCTCATTTGTTATAGCATGAAAGTTTTTTGTGCCTAAAAGCATGCTATGAAGTATTCTAAAGTAGAAGGAGAATTTAGACTATGAAAGAAATATAATCATTGGAATGTTTGCTGATGGTAGAAAAGATAAAACTTTACCCCTTATCTATGATAAGACCAAAGGCACCTTTAGAAAAATTTTTATTCAAGAAAATCATTTAACTGTGACAGAGGAGCCTAGAGGTTGCTATCTTACTCGTTTTACACCAGAACCTAAATCTGAAATATGTAAACCAGCCAAAAAATGTGTTTTTTTTGGCTGGTTTACATAATTTAGTTATTTACCACTTATAATATTAGTTAAAGATGTAATATAGTCAAACTTGTTAAAAATAATTCTACCATTCCTTTTGTCTGGTTTTGTGATTACGATATTTTCATTTTTCTTAAGTCTCTTTAATATTCTGTGTTTCCTTTCAACAACCTTCAGATTGTGTGTGTTTATATACATAATTGTTCGCTAAATGATAAATCTAAGTTGAATATTGAGAAATTGTGCAATGCTATCAAACTGAGCGTAAATATCAGTCTTTTTTATAAACACAGGTGGTAGAGCAAAATTAAGACCATTGTTAAATAATTTCTTCTAGTTTTTATTATGGAAAGTTTTTTTATCTTTATTATTAATTTTTAACAAAAAATACCACTATAAAGTTGAGCAATTATTTCTTACTTAAGATTTTAAATCATTTACATTAACTCATTTTACAGAGATTTTGTTACATACAATTAAAGAAACAAATATCTTAGAGAGAGTCCCAGAGACGCACCACTAAAATTTCTCATAGTATAAAGCATTTTCATTATAAAAATAAACTATGCATTCTAGACCTAACCATGCTCAAAGAAAGCCGTCAGCGAGAAAACTTAATTTAGCTTTATAAAATCAAATTTGGTAAATTTGGTTTTAAAAAGCTAGTTGAATAGTCAAAGAGATGGTTAGATCCGTTAATAACTTCTTTACAATCGAGTTCTCAAAAGCTGGAATTGCATACCAGATCAGATTCTAAATGCAGATGTAAAACATATATGACTTCCTGTAAATTAATTTTTGGTATAAATAATAAAGTTTTATTAATTAGATCATTCATTTTTAATGATTCTTTGTAGATTAAACACAGTAAAAAGAAAAAAATTTACGCAAAGCAAAAAAGTTGAAAGCCAAAACCCCAAAGAAATGTTTTAATTAAAAAAGAATATTCTCTAGTAAATGTTTTCAACATTTTTCATTGTACTTCTTTTTTTATAGAAAAAAATAATTTCTACGCATCATTAATTGCATTCTAATAATGATTTTTAATCAATAAAACTTGTTTCTCAAAGACTCAAAGACCTTGCTAATCACAGAAAGAAGACTCTTTTGAGTCTTCTTTCTGTTATTAGTTTTTGTTATTAGTTTCTGTTATTAGTTATTAGTTATTTGTTATTAGTTATTAGTTTTTGTTATTAGTTTTTCTGTTATTAATTTTTTTCTAAACATCTTCACTTCCATCTTCTCTAACCCAAAACTTTGCATGATAAATGGAGGGGTCAGATTATTAGCCAGAGTTTTTGAAAATTGGAGCAACAGATGCCATTTTCTGGCAAACAGGAAAGCAAAACTTAATCAAGCACTTAATAAATAGATTAGAGTGAATTGAAGATAGTTTTGGAGAATAATTTTGTAAGAAATTGTCAGGTATGTTGTCTGCACCACAAGTTGTTGAAAAAATTAATTAAGATATGACTTAAGCAATTAAAGCTGGAATGATTTAAATGTCTATCAATGGGTTAACCTGTTTAAATTGGAATGGAAGGAAAAGATTGTCCATAAGATTTTATAGTCAAATTAGATAAAAAGTTCTTTGCAAATAGTTCTGCCTTATCCTTGGGAGAAGTATAAAGATCAGTCCCATGAATGAGAGGTGGAACTTCCATGATTTCATGAATGAGAGGTGGAACTTCCATGATTTCATGAATGAGAGGTGGAACTTCCATAATTTCATGAATGAGAGGCGGAACTTCCATGATTTCATGAATGAGAGGTGGAACTTCCATGATTTCATGAATGAGAGGTAGAACTTCCATGATTTCATGAATGAGAGGTGGAACTTCCATGATTTCATGAATGAGAGGTGGAACTTCCATGATTTCATGAATTAGAGGTGGAACTTCCTTTATTAAAAAGTCTCTAGAGCATAACTTCTGAGATATGAGATTTAGTTTACTGAGAATAATGGAGTTAAGCTTCTGACAGCATCTTTTTACATAGATTCCTTGCAATAATAAATAGCCATTTTTTCTCAAAAGAGGTTTTCTTTTAAAAAAAATTCAAAAAATGATTACGATTAGATATAGCAACTGTACCAGAGGGTAAAAATCATGAATAGAATGAGGCTTGACTTGGAACCAAGAAGAAGAAATAAAAGCTTTCATTTCTATATAAATCCAAGAGGTTACATAAGAGATGCATTTTTCAGTTGAGAGCAAAGACAGCTTTAGAGTAGTAGTAAGTAATTAGTTAGTAGCGCAATGATATGTTGAGTCCGAAAAGAAAGTACAAGTTAAATAATTTAAAGAGATCATTGCATGGTCAGAACTTCCTTAAAGAGAAAAATGAAAAACTAAACACAAGCTAGGATCAGAGACCAGACATAAATTAAGGACTGAAGGTAAATGATTAGGGTTGTCAGGAAAAACAAGTCACAAAGTTTAATAACTGAGTACAAGATTAAGAAATGCAGAATTTATAGGCTTTAGTGCCAGCAGGGTCAGCATTAGAGCCAAGCCATTTAGTGTGATGAGCATTAAAGTCACCACTAATAGCATTATCGGCAGAAGGTTAAAAAGAGATGACATGGTCAATTTGCTTAAATTAAAAGAGTGCAGTCTTGAGAAGAAGAAGAACAATAAAGAACAAAGAGAAAGGTGATATATGGAAGCACATAAAAGAATGGTTAAAGGATCATTCATCATCCTAGGCAGGAAACAATGTAACACAGGTTTACATCTATGTGAGCCTATTAGATGAAGGAGGGGTTCAAGGCTGGTTAACATAATTATGCTGCTTACCCCTAGATTCTTTACCTAGGAGGCCTGCTACAAGATTGTAAATGGATTCAGTTAATATCTGCCCAAGATGAGTATTTTATTGAGACAACATCTCTAGCCTTTACTCAACCAAGAGCCCCAAGGTAGGGGAATTATAGCTGGATGTAATTAATATCTGCCCAAAATGAGTATTTTTATTGCGACACCATCTCTATCTCTTAACCAAGAGCTCCAAGACAAGGGATTTTTAAGTTAGAATTTTTTTCTTCTAGTCTTTGTCATTAAAAAGCACACTCTGCAAGGCAACAGGACATGGGGCACATAAAACTGGGTTACATAATACCATTATGTAACCCAGTTTTAACTCCTTATAAAAGGGTGATTGTGATTATCCTGAACCTGAGCTGACCTAGAGTAATTAAAAGGATCTATTTCCTGCAAAATGTACCTTAAAACATTGAACATGATATTTTGAAATGGAAAAATATTTCATCTAAAAAAATACTAGTGAGTGAACACTGCACCAAAAATGCAGTCAGAACACAAACATACACATAGCAACTTATGGGTGTAATCACCACGCCAGAGGTTTATACAGAACACAAACATACTTATAAAGTAGTTTTCAGGTAAGCTAAATAAAACTATATAAAAGACACAAAAAAATGTATATATATACATATATATATATATATATATATATATATATATATATATATATATATATATATATATATATATATATATATATATATATATATATATATATATATATTTATATATATAAATATATATATGTATATATATATACATATATATATTTATATATATAAATATATGTATATATATATAGAGTCTTTAGACCAAAACAATTGACATGCAAATGTGTTATGAAAAGCAATCAAACAAGTTTAGTTTGACAACAGCTAAAAACAAAGAAAAAAGGAGTAGAGGGATATAATAGAATATCAAAAGATAGTAAGAGAGTCACAAAGTAAATTAAAGATACTCATCTATTCTTGTTTACAGCAAAAGGGAAAATTGTCATATAAAAAAGAATTCATTAATATGTAAGAATACTACCTGCTCATAACCTGTCTGTTTACATATGTATTTATGCTTCTGCTTATTTTGGGCAACAGTAGTCCCTGTGTCGTGGCCTGTCATAAGAAAATTTTGCAGAAACATTGTATTTTGACATTTTTCTTGCAAAAAAAAAAATATTTGCTTTAAAAAAAAAAAAGTCCTCAATTTCTGATCTTGGTAGGGTTTGTCGAAAACAATCTCGAATAGTCCCTGCTGTATTTTACCTTTTTTTCAATAGCATCAACAACCTTTCATGTTAATCTAAACCAGTAGTAATTTGATTTATTTAATTATCATCCTTCATTAATAATTTGAAAATAATGAAGATTAGAAAGAAAATTTTTTTAAAAAATAATAGAAACCATTAATAATATAAAAAATAAAAACTTTATGATATTTTAACAAAAATATAATTAATAAAACTATTAATAATCAAATATTTTTTGATGAAAAATGTAGTTAAAAGAAAAAAAAACAGCAAAAATTCTTAATTTTATTTTTAGCTGAAACCTGGGAAAATAAAGTTGAATCAATTTCTATTCCAGATGGCATTCAAGTTGAAATGTTTTCTGATGTGCAGTTTAAAGGAAAAAGTATTATTTTTTTTTCTTTTATTAACTACAAATAATATACAATATTATTGTAATATACAATATTATTGTGTTGTCATTGTTGATATTCGGGAGGACAGCAATTGCATTTCCAAAACTTTACTTTTTAACCTTTCTGCTGTTTAAATGTTTTTTTATATTTTTCGGTTTTTACTTATTTTTATATTCACTCTGGCCATATTTTATAATTTATGAGGTTGGACTACTTATTTATTTATTCCAATTAAGAAGCAGACAAAGTAACAAAATTTTGTACTTAAGTAAAAGTACTGTTACTTGAGTGACATTTCACTTAAGTTCAAGAAAACCGGTAAAAAGTTTACTCAAATAACAGTAAAAATTAGCTCATTAAAAATGTACCTAAAATAAATGCTACCTTGTTACTTTATTAACAGCTTTTTTAGTTTCCATTCAAAATTTTTTTAAATTTTCTTTTAAAACTTGAATAAGAAAGATTCCAATTCTAAACGTCAGCAGTGTTTGATGACTTCATGGTCATCCATCATTTACGTTACACAACTTTATACTTTTAATACCATAATATTTTTGATTATATTTATATGTTTTTAGTTATCTAATTAATATGTTTCAATACATGTATATTTTAGTTGTTATTTTAATTTTAGTTGTACATGTCTACAAATAATTTCCTTCAGAAAAAAATTATTTGTATGCAAAACAAATTTAGTTTTTAATATTTATATATTGACATAAAACCATGGATGATTAAACGTTCTAGTTGGGATGTGTTGATGACTAGGGAACTGGTTCTAATGTTTTTATTTTTTATTTTGATGTTTTATTTCGAAGTCGCTTATTTATTAACAGTTTTATTTGTTTGTTGTTTATACTTTTCAAAGTTTAAAAGAATAAGTGCTTTAATGCATACATAAAATGACTGATACAGCCTTAGTCGAAGTGTAATTACATTGACTGACTTAAGTAGGCATAGGTAAAGTAAAGTCTAGATACATTTTTTTTTTTTTTTTGCACTACTATAGTTCCGAATAAAGTTGTACAAATAAACAGTGACTTAACAGGCAAATAACATCTGAAGTTATTTGATTTTTTTAATAAAAATATAATTTAAATAACTTCGTTTATAAGAAATTAGTGTTGTTGACGTTGCTATCTATTATATCACCACTTTATCACTACTGATAACACTGCCATTAACACAGCTGAGTCTACTAAAGTTCAAGTTAATTTAAAAAATAAATTTAAATTGAATTTAAATTAGTAGCAGCGGTCGAGTGTACGCACATGAACTTAGGGTTTATATTTGGATAGGCACTCATTTAATCAATAGAAAGGTCTTATTAGATTTAAAACTAAAAAAAATTTCCGTCACAAAATTGAATACCCCTCTACCATGCTCAGTGGGCCAGAGATTGGCATAAATGTTGAAAATGCATGTTTGTAGAAACTTTTTTTTTGCAAATTTTTTAAAGTAAATATCCCACTATAAAAAAATCTGTCATTTAAATATTTTAATTTTGTTTTAGGAGTCCTGGGAAAATTTTCAAGCTTGTCCAATTAAAATACTTTAAAATAAAAAAAGTGAAATTACTCATAAAATTGAATTTCACTTCATAAGCGCAGTTTTTTTAAATTTAATTAAAATTTTATAATCTCAATATGTGCTTTATTTTAGAAAGCTTAACAAATAAAAATAGTCTTTTATTTAAAGTTTTTTTTCTTAACTTTAAATATTATAGTTAAAGTATTACAAAAGCTCAAGATATTTTTTCACTCGCGTTTCCCCACTATGGAAAAAACTTTTTTACAGTGTCTTAATATTGTAGAAGGTTTCTCATTAAAAATATCTTGCGCAAAGTTGTGCCAGTTAAAATTTAGCAGGTTTTAAACATATAACTCGTTTGTCATTGTTTCAAACACATTGTTCTTAAGTATGAATTAATTACAATTACGGAAACTACAAGAAATAATAAAATCTAATACTATTCCAATTTATTAAGTAATGTGGTTTTTTTATTTATAAACTTAAACTTATTTCAGTTAATTATCGATTATGTTTTTAATTATGTAAAATACGAATACAATTTAAAAACTTTAAAAACTATAATTTTAAATTAAAATTTTCTTCTACCAATTATTATGAAAAAAGAAAAAAAGTTATTCAAAAATTGTTTCATGCTTTGAAAAACAACTTAATCAAATCAGTTACCGACTCTGATGCTTATAAAGTTACAGGGATCTCTAACATTGACTTCAAATTATTTTCTAAAGTTTAACAAAAAATGGAATAAAGTAAACAGACACAAGGATAGATTTGAGTTGCATTTCAAAAAAATCAGGTCAAATAAGCACTGCATGTTTTAAACAGATAAATTACACAAGAACCAAATTTCAGGCTTGGCTTTTCCTACTTCTTCTCACAATTTAGTTATGATATATTATATAAATTAAAGTAATGGACTCATGTTTTTTACTATTTAATTGTGTTTTAGCTAATGTTTATACTAAATACAATCATCTGATATTTTAATTTAAATTAGTTGTCTACAAAAGACTACCAGGTGTAAATTTCCATACCATTCACCAAAGCTTTTGAAAAAATAAAGAAGAGGAAATCAGAAAAAAAAGATTTCTGTCAAAACAGAGGAATTATTTTCACTTACTTATTTTGAAACTAAAAGAAAAAAAAAAGTTTAGCGGTGCTAAGGTACATTGAAATTTTTTTCATTTATTAAAAAAAATCTCCAAAACACTACCGGTGCTAAATTTTCTAAATTTGCTAAATTTTATAAATTTACATTTTTACTCTTAAAGTTGTGAAGCAAATATTAAAATTAGAGAAAGATGGTGAACTTAATTCAACAATATATACTGAAGAGGAAACATTAACTTTGATTTCGGACTGCTGACTTAGTAAAGCTGATAACCAAATAATTCGCATTGGAGCAGTTTCTAAAGAAAACAAGTTGTATCCAACTTATAATGAAGTAAAGGAAGAAAAAGATTTATGCATACCTGTTTATGGAATACAAACTACTGATTATTCAGCCTCAGTTGATTTACAAAGCTTTATTGATCATTAGGGTATCCCATACTTTTCAAAAAACTTTTTTTATAATAAATTTAAGATCTGTTAAAATAAAGCTGTTATTAATAAGTCTTCGTTTGTAAAAATTGATTTATTGCTATATTTTATTGACCCGAAAATTATCTTGAGGTGTAAATATATTTTTATGTGGAAGCTATAAAAATTGTATAAACTTTTTGTTAAAATTAAATTTACATTTCACAAGAGTTTTTTTATAGGAATTTTTTAAACAAAAAAGTTCTAAAAGTTCAATATTTTTTGCATTATATTTTTCATATTTCGTTTTTGTATTTTTATTTTAACCCACCAGTACTACATAGTTAAAGTTAAGCACCAGCGTTACTGCAATGTGATTATGCAGTAAATTTCAATTGCCAATTTTAGAAATTGATTTGCGTGCAAATATTAATGATTGCGATATTTAGTTAGATGATTGCAAAACGTTTTTTTTTGATTACTATTACCTGCCAACTAATCAAAATGCGACAAAATTACAAACACAAAAATCTCAGCGATTACAATTAAATCGCTTTTTTATGGTTATTCTTGCAACATACCGCAATTTTATCCAAAAATCACTATTTGCTGCAAAGATTGCTAATATCGTCTAATTTTAAACTCTAGAAATCCAATTTAAATGTTACACTTATTATTATTCTCGTAATTTATAGAAAACTAAAATAGAAAAAAAATCCAAATTCAAAAAAGTAAGAACAGGAATTTGTTTCATTTATTATTACAAAAAAAAAAAAATGTTTTTTATATATTTTATGAAGAGGAAGGTGTCTGTTATCTAATTTTGATTAACAATAACATTGACATTGAAAACAATAATATTGACAAATATTATTTTTCAAATATATAATTTAATATATTTAAAATTAATATTAATTGTTTGTTACTAATCTTATATCTTAATATAATAATATCAATATAATGGTAATATAATGTTATTATATAAAAATAGTAATAATAATATGATAAAATTTTATCTTAAGAAAAAGGAAGAGACTTTATTCCATCTGAGCTACCAACTCTTGGTGATGTTCTTTCAAAAGTTATACTCATTAAAGAATTATTAGGATAGAAAGTATATCCATTAGATGATTTGGTTACAGAAACAAGATTTGAAGTTGTTAAACAATGGAAAAAAGCAAACTCAGACTTTTCATCTCCAGTTCTTTTTACAGATGTCCTTTGACCAAAAGATCAAAAAATTTTATAATGATGTTCAGGATATTGGCAGAAAAAGATTAACCAAAAAAGTAGAAATTGACAAAATAATGAAGTCTATGTCACAACTATTTGATATAACTGACTGCAAATGCGCAATTTTATTCTGTAATGAATCAAGTTGCAATTTTATTCTGTAATGAATAAAGTTGCAATTTTATTCTGTAATGAATCAAGTTGCAATTTTATACTGAAATGGATCAAGTTGTCTGGGGTAAGAAAAAAAAGTTAGTATTGACTGTAAATGTAAAAAGTCAGTGAGGATTCCTATAATTGAATTAGAATTTATTTACTTGCAGAGAAAAAAAGGAGAACAGTCTCAAATTATTATAGGATCAAAAGACGAAGAAGTGAAAGGCAATTGAGCTATGTAGTAAGAAGAAACAGAATTTAAAAAAGTTCAAGGAAAAGGTGATGATAAATAGTAGTCATTTGAAAAGAACCTATGTTGAGGTTTAAAAAAGTTACACTGAACATGTTAATTTATTAAACATAAGTAATGATTTCAAAGTAAAACAAAATTATATGAAGATTCAAAATACTGCTATTGCTGAAATAAGATATGAAGTTTCAAACACTGCTACAGCTGCAATTGCTTCAGGATTTTTTTCAAGATTTTGTGGAAGCTAAAGTTGTTTCAGAATCAGCATTTTTTTTTATTACTGGACAAAAAAAAAGTGCATAGAGTCAAAGATAAAATTGTCAGCGTCACGTTTTTGCAGAGAATAGATCAGAGTCTGAAGATGTTTCTTGAGTTCTCTTTGATGGAAAAAGTGGCAAAACTAATTTAATGACATTTAATGAAGAAACAAAAAAATTTTATCCTCTAATTAAAAAGGAAGATCACTATACTTTAATTGATGAATATGGTAGATATCTTTATCATTTACCAAAGGAGAAATATGTGAAAAATAAAGTTTAAGATTAAGTCTGCCAAACATATAGCAAATAAAATATTTCAATGGTCTATTTTGCATGGCGTTGAAAATGGGTTAAAAGAAAAATATGTGAGATCATCAGCATGGAATTCTTATTCTGAAATCTTATTGCAAACATTACTTTGCAGCCAAAATAAAATTGAAAGGGAATTTGCTGTTAACAAATTTTTAGAAATTAGAAAATATGAGGAAATGGGAACTCTAGCTCTTAGAACAAGCTTTCTCATTTAAACCTGTGTGCAACCAAATTGATTGATTTAATAACATGGAAAGAGGCCTATAAACGCATCTTAACCTGTCAAATAAACATAAATGAGCTAAAAAAAATCCTAGATTGTCTTATGGTAGTTCCGTATTTCCATGTTCACACACAAGAAGTTGAGAGTGCAGTTAAAGAAGAAAAAATTAACTTTCCCTAACCTTAATAATATATTAATTTTTAAAAATATAAAAAAAAAATATTTTACTGCGTTTGTTTTGAGAGACGTGATGGATTTATTCAAGCAAGAGCAGAAAATAGATTGTTAATGCCTCGTTTCAACAGCAAGAAGGACCTCATTCAATTTTAGCATTCTTTTTAACTCTACTAGAGTACCTCTAGTAGAGTTATAAAGATTGAGAAATGAGTTTTATTTTTTCTTGTTAACTTATATAACTTTCATATTTTAAATAGGCATTTATAAAACCAGGTGCACTTACATAAGGGGTTGGGGGGTAGAGGTTGGGGAAGGAAGGAAGGCTTAAGAACCACTTTAAAAATTTTCTTTTATATTTACTGACATTAATGAAAAAGTTTTTAAAGTTTTTTTACTATCTATATAAGATAATCTTAGACATAATATAACTTTGGTCCCCCTCCCCATTTGAGTTAAATTTTTTAAACTTAAGGTCTATTTGTGTAAATGTTGTCTTTATTCTGATAAAGTTGTTTATGTCTTTCTTTAATGTATATACTTAAAGGCAAAAATATTATAAGGCCAACTTTTTTAAATAATGTTGAAAAGTATGGGATGCCCTATTGACCATATTACATAGCGGTTATTAAAAATACTTAATGAATCTGTAAAAGCTCCTGAGAAATCCATTCTTGTCTTTATACGCAAAGTAGGATACACAAACAGCAGAGCTCTACGCTTCTCTGTACCCATAATTTCCAATGCCTCAAATTGTACATAAAATTCTAGTTCATAGTTCTCAAGTTGTAAAAGATAAACCAGTACCAGTAGGTCTTCTTTCTGAGAAAGCTCAGGAATTTCAAAATAAATATGTTAAAAATTATAGAGAACACTATACGAGAATATTTAAGAAAAGTCACAAATGAATGTTATGCCAAGATTATTGTGCAGTTCAGAATTATTTGCTTTCTAAGAAGTTTGAGATGTATTAAAGAACTTGAACTTAACAAAGATTTAATTAAACTTTTGTTGTAACTTTTTTTTTAATTTTAAGTTTTGGATATTTTTTTACTCTGATTTCTGATATAATATCTAATAAATAAATGTTTTTCTTGTTTATAAAAAGGGGACTAACATGTAACAAACATTTTAATTAATTAATGCTTTGAATCTGGAAAAAACTGTTTCTAAAAACAACCAAAAGTTGTCTAAAATCTCTGACACCTTATACACCTTTTTTTATTAGGGTGTTAAGGGTGCCTGCATCTGCATAAAAAAACTTTTTTATGCAGATGAAAATTTTTTTAAAAAAGTCTTCATAATGACTAGAGTCACTAATAAAAATTTCAATTTGATAACTTTAAAATTAAAGGAGTTATAATGTTTTGTCCATTTTATGTCGATTTTGGCCCACTCTGCCAACAAATCGTCATAAAATCTCAACCCTTTCCCTCTCAACTCTTTCCCTCTCCTATACTATCATGTGACATAATTTGTGAACAACCCCTAACTCTCTAGAAACATAAGTGAAATTAGGAATTAATTATTAGGAAGCAAAGTTATAAAAAATGTAACATTTATTTTCCATTCCATTTTATATAATATTTGCACTACAAGATTAACTTTAATAACATAGTATTAAAATATACTTTTATTTTTGTTTAGAAATTGGACCATTTTATGGACCAAATACAATAAACAAACTTTGTGGTGGAAAGGAAACTAAATCCATGAAAGTTTCTAAAACTGATGTCAAAACTGCTGGGATGGTTTTAATTTGCTCAGAAAAGTCTTTTTCAGGAATGTGTGACTACATTGAACCTGAGGTTATTTTTTTAATTTGATGATTAAATATTCAGTAACAAATGGGGTTTCTAAATACTTTCAGTGGAAAGTTCTAACCCATTGTACAAATGGGTTAGAACTTTACAAGAATATGTTCTTTCCTTTAACTTTTATGGGGAATTTTTTTGATCAACAGGTCAAAAACTTCCCCATAAATCAAAATTTTAACCTACTTGTACAAATGCTTACATTCATACCTTTTTTTTAATTTGTTTTAAAAATTTTGTCCCAACAAGTAACCACTAAACAAGGTGAGAGTAAAAAAATAAAGTTTAAGAAGGAAATTATTATAAAAAGAATAAAAGAATTTTACAAATGACTTAAAAAACTATAAATTATATGAGTCAGGAAAGCATGAAGATGATGCTCTGATGCTCACAGAAAATATAAATATGATACTGATGATATTTTAGTTTAACAGCTTTTAATTGGCTAATTTTAAATTATAAGTTTATAGTTAGTTAATTTTTTTAATGATTATGTAATAATCATTAAAAATATCTTATTAATAATACAAACAAAAAAATTAATATTAATCTTGCATTTTAAAGGTTGCAGTATTTAAAGTATTAAACTGCTGGAAAAAAAGTGTTTTGCTTGAAAGAAGAAAGTAAAGTAATAACTTTTTCTGATTTAGGTACATTGAACAACTGTAAAATTGCAAAAAAAATTGGTTCTTGAATTGCTCAATGTATACCATTTTTTAAAGTTAACCCTTCAAATTTTAGCACATCTATGTTTTTTTAAATTTTGTATGTCAACATTTTGGATGCAAACCATCTGTTACATGCAAATAGGTAAATTGCAATTAATTTTTTTTTTTTTTAATTCTCTTTTGAATTGCTGGAGTTACTACAATGTTGAAAGTTGTTTGCAGACGAGTTGACTTTTATGATGTTGTATAATGGAGGCTGGTGCTAGATATTGATCACTGTTGATTCACAAGGCAGTGGCTAAGATGGTATACCTACTGGTGTATAGGTACTGGCATAGATTCTAGTGGTTGTGATAACGAAGACTCAGGTTGAAGTAATGTTGTTTCAAAAATACTAGTAATTTACAATTTTATTGACATCAAGTGGAAACAAACCGATATTTTGTAATCACATGATTTTTTGTATTCAAGTATAAACTTGACTAGAGCTTCCAGTTGACTAAAGCATTTTTTTCATAAAACTATTGAACTTTGGCTCTGCATAAAGCTATTGAAGTAATTTGTGGCTCTTTTGACATGGTAAAAACGCTAGTTGCTGAGTCATAACATTTAAAGATTCAAACTTTTGTAACCAAGCTCTTCTCCTAAATCAAATTCTACTCCAATTTTTTTTTTAATATTTTTTATTCTAAAATGATTGTTACTTCAAAAATTAACTTTTAAATGCTAAAATGTCACAAGACTTTATAATTAAATTTAATTTCAATCTTTAATTTGAGTTTAAGATTTTACTAACATTTTGTTGAAATGTTTACATTAACGCTAATAAATTGCAGAAGTTTTAGGGGTTTTTGTTATCAAATTCCAATTACTGTAATAACGCTGAGTAAACTATAATTTTGGAAAAATATACTCATTTATTATCGGTATTTAAGATAATGTCTAGAATTAACCTATATTAAAAACCAATAGAAATCTGTCTAGAATCACCCTATATTAAAAACCAATTAAAACCAGTTCATAATTTGTATTTAAGCATTTTTTTGATTAAACTTTGTTATAGAAAAACTCATATTGTGAAGTATTTGCATGGCATATTCATTTACTTATACAAAATTTCGCAAAAATAAGTTCAGTTTAACAAGGTTTTGAAGGATAAAAGTTTATCTGATATCTATAACTATGGTTATAGTTTATACAAAGCCAAATAATAAATAACTTAATGCTAATATAAGTTAAAATAACTTCAAGTGAACAAATACAAAATGGTACCCATTAAATTTAATTTAAAACAATAGCAGTTACAATTGATAAATTTTAACTGTAATAAATATTTATAAATAATAAATAAATATTATTTTTATAAATATCTTTATTTATTTATTAAAATTAAAACATGGACACAAAAACAAAATTTTATCAGGTGCTGTTTTTATAATAATGTGTTTTTTAAAGAAATTTTAAAATATAAAAAGTTTATAGAATGATTTATGTTTAAATTTCGAGTCTCTGGCATTAATAATGGTTCCTTTCAACAAAAAATATGCAGGAAGTAAGGATGATGTGGCTGCTCAAATCATAATTTCTTTGCAATGCTTCACTGTGCCAGTGGCATATTTATAATTATAGCGCTGCTTTGGTGGGCACCAACCTTTTTTAACCCATTTGTAGAATTAAGTGATAGTACTTTTATCCAAAAACATAACTCTGTCCCAATCTTTGCTTGTCCATGAATTGCACAAAATGCAAGACGTTCTTTTATATATTTTTGCTGATAAAAAAGATTTATGGTTTAAGATCACCTGCGACAACCTGTAACGCACAGTTTTATTACTTATTTGCTGCAGAGCATTCGGAAGTTAATTATGGAGTGTTTTGGATATACCTGAGAAGATGTTTTAGCTAACTGTACAGTTTTGCAGTCGTCTCGAGCTGAAGCAACATGGGGGTGGCCACTGCAAGGTCTTAATTTGATTGTTCTTGATACATCTACTTGTTATAAAGTTTAGCAAACACGCCAAGAAAAATTCCAACAGATATAGCTACATTCTCATGACTCTCATGACTTCTTTGTGGCTAAAACCTGAGTTCTACCAAAGTGTAAAAAACCTGTGGCTAAAACCTGAGTTTTACCAAAGACAACTCTAATCCTCGCTATGGCTTAATTAAAAAAGCTAAAGTAAAAAAAGACACAAAAAATCGTCATTAACCAATAATAAACAAAATATCAAACAACTTTAAATGAAAAAGTGGATATTATATTACAAATTGTAAGTTATACATTTAAAATATAAATTGATAAAACATGAAACATAAAATAAAACAATTTAATTAAAACAAATTATTTTCCCCGAAAAAATATCCAAAATGTTGAAAGAGCTTCAAGAAGCATATTTGTATATGCAAAAAAATTTCTTTAATTTTTTAGTTATTGTTTGGCATGTTATAGCGCTTGATAATACTAACGCACGCACACACACATATTTCATAACAATTTTTTATTATTATTATATATATATTTATACAATATTAAAATTATATATAAAATTATATATATATATATATATATATATATATATATATATATATATATATATATATATATATATATATATATATATATATATATATATATATATATATATATTTTAAATGACGACATCTTGTATGAGAGTTGAATTATTTAATATATGAACATCAGTGAGTACGAATTCTACTAATTTTTTTTGTTAAATCGAAGAACTTTTCACTAGATTTTAGACACTAGCATCTTTAGCTTTATTTACAAACATTAACTTAATTACGATCCAAAACTTAAAATACTTTGTAATTAAAGCTGAAGATGTTAGTATGAATTATAGAGCAAAAAATTTTTAGATTTAATAAAAAATTAGTATTGAGAGAATTCGTATTCATTAATGTTCATATATTAAAAGTATTATATTTATATATACAGCACTGGAAAAATTCTTATGGATTTTTCAGTTTTTAAATAAAAATCAAGTTTTTTACTTCAAAAACAATCATATCATAAAAATAAATTTACAGATTATATATTCCAGGTGTATCAAAGTTTTTAATATTTGGTTTGACCACCTTTTTTAATACTTGGTTTGACAACAAGGTGGTTCCAAGACAATGGGTTAATATCAATGAGCACAATCCTGTTGTAATATAAAATCCTTATCAGTGAACCAGTCTCTTACTTGAGGAACCAAACGTTTTTCCATCATCTTTATATACTTTCTCTGTTCATCATTCCTTCCACAACATTTAGACGACTTGTTCCATAGATAGATATCGCTCCCCATACCATGATCTTAGTGCAAAACTTCATTGCTTTCTTAAGACACTCAGGCTTAAACTCCTCTGCAGGCCTTCTTCTGACTGTCTGGACTCTATATCCAACACAGCAATTGTTGACTCATCTCTCAGAATATTAACTGAACAAAAAAAAGCCAGATAAGTTGCAAAGAACTTTCTGTACAAATATTACATTAATAGTCATGATCAACAAGTCAATACCTACTGATATCAGTAAAAAAATATGATGAAAAACAGAAAGAAATCAATACTACCAAAAATCTAACAGAAAGATAAATTAACTATTACCTTGGACCAACCTTCTTGCGTTCAACTTTCATGCTCAATGGCCCATCCATGCCTCGTATGCTTCATTTTGTTCGTAAGGCTACTATTCTCCAACAAAACACATATTTATCCTTTTTTCAAGGGGTCATGTCTTTTCTTTTCCCCATCACTTCAAAATCGGTCATAAGTGTCAAAAGTTTTGCTGAACAAATATTTTTTTATTTTTTCAGAACTGAAACTTAAAATTTGTAGAGTGCAAGTACACCGTACACTACAGAGTGTAAAAGAAAGTGACGCGAACTCAAATTAACATATTTCAGAATTTGCAGGTTAATTTTAGCAACTTTTCTTGTCCAAGCCTTAAATGACCCTAAAATTGAAAAAACAGATTTAAATGGATTTCACTTTAAATTTTTTTTTTTTAACAACATGCATATATATAGTAATGGGGCAATAAAATAGTCCCATTACTATATATATGCATGTTGTTAAAAAAAAAGAATATCATTGACCACTTAAAACTTTTTAGCTGTCTCAATGAAATTTAGTGACAATTTTAGAAATCCATAATAATTTTTCCAGTACTATATATATATATATATATATATATATATATATATATATATATATATATATATATATATATATATATATATATATATATATATATATATATATATATACACACATATATATATATAAATATATATATATATATATATATATATTTATATACAGACTCGCGTATGTATATATATATACACATATGTATATATATATATATATATATATATATATATATATATATATATATACATTCAATGTATGTATATATATATATATATATATATATATATATATATACATTCATCTACACACACACACACACACACACACACACACACACACACACACACACACACACACACACACACACACACACACACACACACACACACACACACACACACACATATATATATATATATTTATTTATATATATATATATATATATATATATATATATATGTATATATATATATATATATATATATATATATATATATATATATATATATATATATATATATATATATATATAAACACATATGTGTATATATATATATATACACAGATTTAATTACAATTATTTATTATTAGAAATATTCAAAATTGATTTTTCACGGTTGTAATTGGAATGAAAAGAAAGCTAGTATCAAAAGCATACGTGTTCCCGATGGACTTGCCGTTGCCATGTGGACTAAAGTTGATTTTGAAGGCATGCCTTTCGGGCCATATACAGGTCCTGTTTCTGTTCCAGAAGTAGATGATGGATACACTGCCAACGAATTTCAAATTAATTCTATGAATATTGAAAAATTTACTAAATCCGATTTGGTATATGAAAAATCGGATTTTTCAGAAAAGCGATCAAAAACTCTAAGTTATTCTAAAATTTCTAAAATCAGTCGAGTTTAAAACAGGTGCCTCTTTCAATACTAACTATTTATATTCATAATTGACCTTTTAAAGTAAGTTGGAAGTTATTAAGTGTTCTTATTTATGTAAATCTAAATAAATAAATGAATTTAAATAAATAGTTACAAAATTATTTTGTGAATTCATATAATTAATTATAAATTTAATAATTAATATATATGTTTACAAATTCATTATAAAACATATATATTAATTATTAAATAAAAATTTCTTTGAAAATAGTTCTTATTAATGTAAGATATTTCGAGGAAATTTAAATATGTTTTTAAGTATAAAAAATGAAAAAGTATAATAAAAGTTGTAATAATTTTTTCTGTTTGGTATATTCTTTCGAGAAGATTTTTTTTATGTAAATTTATTTTGACGTAAAAACTGGAACATCGGTTTTCAAAATGACGAAATGGCATAATCACTATCAGTTTCTAAAATGACATAGCTACCATTATCCCGGTTAAGAATGTATTCGTAGCCTTAGAGTAGTCTTAGAATGTTTCTAAAATCTTTTAGTCCGTGACCCATTTTTACACTTAAAATCTTCAAAGGATCCCCAAAATAACGGGTAGTGTATATGTAGAATAGAGGTTATTTAGATCATTAGAAGTAGAAAACATCTTGGAGGGAGGGGTAAGAAATCTTTACCTTTAGCAGGAGCTAATATTTTTTGTTTAATTGTATTGAAGCACTCATAATTTTGATTAATAGCAAATATATTTTTAGTATCAATAAAAGTTATAACTTATTTGTACATCTTTGAGTGAGATATGCTATGCTGCATATGTTCCGACATGTGCTGTTAAGATATGCTGCATATGTTCCGACATGTGCTGTTAAGATATGCTGCATATGTTCCGACATGTGCTGTTAAGATATGCTGCATATGTTCCGACATGTGCTGTTAAGATATGCTGCATATGTTCCGACTTGTGTTGTTAAGATATGCTGCATATGTTCTGACATATGCTGTTAAGATATGATGCATATGTTCCGACATGTGCTGTTAAGATTTACTTATTCTTTAATTACTCACCCACAGGTAAAACAAACAAAGTGTATAAAACTAATAGTTTATACTTTCATTCTAAAGTCTAATTTAAATTCCTTTTGGAATATTTTCCTCCATCAAATTCTTAAATATTAGTCTTTGTTCTTTGGTATTCCAGAATTCAAAGAAATGGTTCAAAATTGCCTCTGTATTGTCTTCTTCGTCACTCTAGCGACAATTAATCGTTTTTTTCCTTCTTTCAAACACTGGGCGAAGTTTAGCTTAACTTGATTGCACATTTTTATTACTTCGTTGATAAGTAGTTTATCTTTAGTAACATCAGATATCTGAGTCAAAATCAGGGGAAAATAAGTCGGATAGTTCAGTAGTCTGATAAACAGATTTAACTTGTTTCGAATGACGATGGTAGACGTCATCAATTTTAAAGAAAAAATGCTTGTAGTTTTTGCTGTATAGTATATAGTAGAGATAAATTTAGTATATAGTAATTTAAATTTAGTATATAGTATTTAATATAGTAGAGATAAATTTTAATACTGACCTTCCAACAGCGCCCAATTTATTAAGAAGTGAGTTAGTATAACAACAAACTACTATGCCGTATGATAGATTCGGTACAGCCAGAGATTTGAACAAATGTACTATAGTTAATGGGTGACAAAAACGAATACCAGATTTAATAAGAGCTCTGGATATTGGTTAAAACTAAATAATACGTTCGTTTACAGTTAAAGTGTTGCTATATTTTGTGTATGATTTTGTTCATCCCATATCCCATAGGAATCCGAGGTGTTTCAGTTTATTTTTAAGGTGAATGGAAGAGCCGTTTACTTAAATTTTGCTTTTGTAATTGAACTTTTACCAGATTTAATAAACTCGGTTTTTTTTGTGTGTATAGTTTGTTATATAGATTTTGGCATTGTGACTGAACTTAATTAACCAATACTTATAGACCAGAAAGAGTAAGACTATGTAAGATTATATCGTCTGCGTAGGTAATAGTACCAGTGTATACACTACTTACTTTTGTTCCAACTTTGCAATCTGAAATAATTTGATTTAATATACTTTGAGTGTATATATTATATAAATGTGGTGATAAAATTGATCCTTGTTGCGCGCCTTGAGATAATTGGAAACGATTTTATCTTTTTGTTGTAATGAAGTTTTTCAAACAGCGAATCCCAGTTACAGCTATCAAATTCCTTATTTGTATTTAAACTACAAAAATATATTGATGAGTTATTATTATTGTAATATTTTATTGCTTCACTTAAAAGGAACTCTGCATGAAGAGTGGAACTATTGTGTTTTATGCCAAATTGATGAGAGTGGCTATTTGATATTTCCGGACATTTTCTCATAACAATATATTTAAAGAGCTTTGTCAAAATAGACATAATACTAATTCTGTGGTAGTTATCGGGATAATCAATTATTGGAACAATTATGGATGTTGATAGGTACTCCGGCACCTCTCCATTATTTAAGATATTGTTTTAAAATTTTGAAAGCCATTTAAGTAGGTTGTTACAGGAGTGTTTAAGATGTTCTGCAGTAATTCCGCAGGAATCACGTGATCTATTAAAACTAAGCTTAAGAATACAAGTTTCGATGTCGGAAATTGATACGAGTAATTTATTAGACTCATCTATGAGTTGTGGAACATGAAGGTGTTTGTAACTTGTTGGTAATCGTGGGAGTGTTGAGAATAGTAATAAGTTTTTTTCTAAATTCTTCTATAATTTCTTTTTTGTCTTGTTTTTTATTAATAGTGAAAAAACGAGTGTTTGGGTTTGATTTAATTTTTTGTATATTGCTCCAAAACTTTTGTGGATTACTTTTTTGAAGGTGTTCAATATTTTTAGTGATTTTATTGATTTTCAAGTTATGAGCTGCATTTACAATTTTGCAGAAAATTTTTACGACCTAGCTTGTGTTTATTAAATGAAATATATTTATGCGATCTGCTGTAGTTATATATTTTCCATTCCTTAAATTAAAAAGTGAGGATGTTTTTGCGCGATTTAATTTCTGGTGATCACCATGATTTAAACTCATAGATTCTTTTTGTTGGAAACAGTCTTCCATCGCTAAAATAGCATTTTTTATTTTTTTGCATGTTGTTTCTCTATTTCTTCTCCAATAAAGGTGTAATCTCTGAAAAAAGCGTAGAGAGTCTCTGATTATAAATTTAATAAAGTTATCATCATTACATGAGTGCTTTGGGATTGTATTATATTTTTTAAGAATACTATATACAACTGGCGTTTGACTTTTATTTTGAAGATTATTATTCGGGTTATTCAGCGTTTTATGTTTATAGGTATAGATAAGACCAGTACCATTAATTATATCCAAAAACGAAAGCTCATTTAAGTTCAAAGAAAATTGGATTAATGGTTAGAAAATTTATCATATATATTTTCCAAAAATCACTGAAAATCGCCGGCAATTATGTATTCTCCTTCATCTTCATTTGTGTTAATGATGGAGGTAATCAAACTAAGTTGAGACATGTTTTTCTAAGGATTTATAAATATTTCAGCATGAAGTAAGATAAACTCCCATAAACATAAAAACACGTTGCCATATGAACCTTTTAATGCAAGAATGTGTTCATCTTCGTGTATTACTTAAAGAGACAGCTGTACATTTTTACGAATTAAAAAAGCGTTTCCCCCAAAAGGTCTTCCATATTCTTTTTTTCAGCAGATTAAAAAAATAATTGATATGTCGGAGATAGAAGACATAAACTTTAATTATTTTTATTTAATTTTACTAATAAAATAATTTATACTCGCGCACAAATAAAAAAACGATAAAAAAATATTATATTTATTTCAAAAATGCATAGGGGAGAACGGGGCAAGATGACGAATGGATGATGAACGGGGCAAGATGGCTTTTCATATAACGATTCATCAAAAAAAACTTAAAAACAGTTGAAAACGAAACTATATTTATATCTTGTATTTTAAAACGCTAATTGGTTTTTTAAATATTATTAATCAGTGTTTCTTACCCAGGTATTACCTTAACCGTTACCCGGGTAGTTTACAAGTTTTTCTTACCCGTTACCCGGGTAATTTTTCAAAATTACCCGTAAATTTCAGGTAATTTTAAATTTTATAAGTTTTTCAAAAGTTATTTACATAAATAAACATTTTTGGCTGTGATCAAAATTGTGAAGACATTTAACTGTATAAAAAAGTTTTATAATATAAACCCATCTTTATTTATTTTGAATATGATAAAATTTGCCTGATCTATTGTTAACAGCATTGAACATTTGTGCTGCATTTGTGAAAAGTTGTAACTGATTTGCTTTGAAGCGTAAGGATAAAGGGATAGAATAAACTAAAAAAGTTTCTATATTAGTTGTTTTATCTTCATTATAAGAAATGTATTGCTATTTATTTGATAAATAGCTTTTAAACCACGCAGTATTTATATGTTTAATACCATAGTTTTCTAATTTTGTTGATAAAATGTGATAATCTACAGAGTCAAAAACTTTGCTGAGATCAATAAATACACCTAATGTATATTTATTTTCATGAAATGATTTAAAGATATCATTAACAAGATGTACAATTGCCTCATCATTAGAGTTCTTATTTTTAAAGCCTTCTCATAAGTTTTTTAAAGCCTTCTCATAAAGCTTATCATAAAGAATATTGTTTGCATCTAAAAAATAATACAATCTTTTATACATAATGTGTTTTAATAGTTTTTAAAAGCATGATAGTATGGATGTATGTCTGTAAATGGGGTGTGAGAGTGTGGGTATAGGTCTGTAAATAGCAACACGTCTTATCTCTTGATTATAGTATTGGTATTGGCCTTCAACTTTAAGTTTATTAGAAAAGATTTCTTGTTTTAAAAAAATAGCCTAAATATACGCCCAAGTGCGATTTTTAAACAAGGTACTAATTTAATTATTACATTACTGCTTACATTATCAATTACCATTACCTTTGTTTGATTTAACGAGCAACCGTGGTGCAGTGGTTAGAGTTCAGGCTCAGAAGAGGTCCGAGATTCGAAGCCGGGTTCAGCTTAATAAACGACATTGGTAAGGAAGGAGGCGATGTCACAAAACTAAC